GTCATATTTGTGTTTTAGACTTCGCAAACCATGGTTCCCATTATTACCCCTGTAAAGAAATCAGAAACTGTCTCTACAATTAACAATTTCACATCAAACCACTCTGAATAACTGTTTACAACAACGATTAAATTATGCAGCAATTTTGAAAAATTACCCTTCAACACCCTTGATTTCAGTAGAAACACTGGAAAAGCAGCTGTCTACAAATATTTGAGTATAGTGTATTCATTTCTGAAAGCTGAAATTAAGCAGTCGTCTTTGCTCTTTTGGAAAGCTACAAACGAAAAAAATATTTTTCTTATTAATAAAAGAATGAAATGATACTTTAGTGACTGTTTATCTTCCAGATTAACAGTTTTTGGCTGACAATGCATGCAGGAATAAAGAAAAATACTGCGATTAATAATGTGATCACATTGACACTTGTGAAGAAAAGGCTCAGATGGTGCGAATTTGTATCATCTTGTTTTGTTTAATTTTGTGACTTGCTGACAATGAACACTACAGGACTGACCTGCTGCCATGGCATAGTTCTATACTGAATTAAGAACTGGAAAGCATGATTATTGCCATGTACATTTAGGTCTTATATCTGAAAGTGTGTCATGCACAGATCAAAGACCACAGTAACACATACAAATGTAGCTGATATCTCTAGAATTCACCCAGGCCTTTCTCCTACACGTAGCACTGAATATAAGACAATGGGAAAATGCAATGGAAAGCACCCAGTATTAACTAGCCATGAAGATGTGCATTGCCTATATGTACTCAGAAGTCAGTGCTCAACTTGGATCAGGGCGGTAAAACTGTAAAAGCCTGTAACACTGATGGCTAATAACCATTTCTGTTCCAGTTCCAGTTCGTGTTTTTGGATGCTGTGTTGGAAGAGAAGGTTGACAAATTCATAAAACAAAAAAATAAAAAGAAACAGTCTCATTACTCTTGTGATGTCGATTTATCAGTACCAGCAAAAATTCCCCACAGTAAAGCACCGGTGATGAATGGCACGTTGTAAAATAAACCTCTGACGTGAAGAAAACACACCAAGTGTTTTTGTCCACTTATGAAGATTTGCTCCTCTTTCTTGAGACTGCTGAAGTTTTACAGCCACAAACCGAAATAAAAACACATCCAGACTTAACATTAGCATGAGGATAACATACTATAAAAATGAAAAACCTTTCATTCAATTAAGAAAATAGAAAAAAGAGTAACTAATAAAAAAACAAACACTTTGCAGCCCCACCCCATTTATATTATTTAAGACTTTGTGAGTTTCTGCTGTTTATTTGAGTTTAAGAAGCAAGCTGACTGTCATTTGTGAGAAGTTCTCAATCACATCAGTCAGTAAAGTACTGGCTTTAGTCACAGGGGGCTGCAGTCACACCTCTCATATCAAGAAATTTTGGGGTTAGGGACAGGACCATTGGCGAGGCAGTTAAAGGACAAGTGTGTCTGACCAGCAATCTCAGTTTCAAAAAGTGTAATAAAAATAATTTCACCAACAGTTTCTTCCGGAAAAAACCTTCAATACAGACCTACTGGTGAGGTAGCTCAGAAAAAAAGCTTGTCCACCCTTTCTAAAAGTCAAAATACTTGCTATGCTACTGATTCAACAGATAGGCCTACATTACATCACAGCACACTCTCTCACTTCTGTGAAAAGCAGCCTGGAGGTTCCGTAAACTTCCTAATAAAACTGTCACCTATCTGATTACATCAGTGCTCATCACAGTAAGCCAATTCTTATCGAAACTTAACCTATCCAGTCAAAATTGCTTGTCAGGAAATACAGACTATAGCTTAACACTTCATTCAGATTTCTGCAGCCACAGGCAGCACTTATACTGGCATGAAATCAGATTCAGTGCCGTGCCAGGCCAAGTGTTTTCATATCTGTAAGAACTGAGCTTGGCCACTGCCATGCCTGCAATTTAAACTTCAGTGCCCACTCCATTCACTTCACACGTTCATACTGATATCCTGCCATCAGAGTGCCTGTGTTGTACTGATGCAAACTCTATTCAAATAAGCAGCCTCTGTGAGCTCTACTTTGCAGATTTTTAAGCTGTTTTTGGGCTTTTTGAACAAAAACAAATCACAGAGGCCGTCAGAGGTCTTAAGAAACGGTGACTTGCACATTAGCCTATTTGAGAAAAACAATACAATGGTTAATCAGGTTTTTAGCTGTGGCTGATCCACCTAACTTTTACTGGGCCTGGTTCACAACCAAAATCCAGTTGTTGCTTCTGCTCTGAATCAAACCTTAATCATCCTCCACTTACCTACGAAGGCCATCTGCAAACATTTGAGAGCTCAAATTAAACAGAACACAACGGAAGCTCATTTAGAAGTTCTTTTTTCATGTAATGATCAAAATGTAAATACGTTCAAAGGACAAGGAAGTGGTTAACACGAGCCATGGCCATTCAAGACAATACGATCACTGATCGACCTGCTTGTGTTTGCAAAACTAAAACAGAGCTTACGTCCAACTCGGTGGTGAACATTTCCATGCGCTCCTCTCGCAGACTAAAAATACACATATGCTCACTTGCAAAGTCAAGTCACCCTCTCATGGTGTCATGTGCTCAACCTATGCTTCAGTGTTGCATAGGCTATCCACTGAATGTTACTTTGTTGACTCTATAAAATGCAATGCCAATTAACTTAAAGGGCAGACCTACCATGTGCTTGGCACACACTTGTGACTAGTCACAGTAAGGTACTTTAAATCAAATCCTCAAGCATACATGGACCAAACCCCATGTATGCCCAAGCAATGACCAACACCATTACAACACTGAACAAGACAAAATCATAAAATCATGACCAGCCAAAAAACATTATCCAACTTTGACCATGCACAACTCTGATTAAAGTTTATCTAGCAGTACATATCAGATTTAAACTGGCCCATCTCCAATGGCTCATATATACTTGGTCAAGCCTGGCTTCCATGCTGTTGAGGCTTTCTGAGAATAGGATTGGGGGATACTTTAGTCAGAGTTTATGACGATGCAGTGTGAAAATGTAAACCTAGTTACTTCATTCTGGTTAGTTTGTGTCATTTCCCACTGATTGTGAGATACCAAAGGCATTAACAAAAGGTCCAAAACCCCACAGCAGCCTGCTCACTGCTTTGCTATTAGGGCACAGCCAACAGTGCAGATACTTTTATCCTCTCCCACAAAGGGGGAAGGGAATCTGCGATCTGGATTTGTTTTAACGTAAACCTTTAAACCGAGCGAACGGGAATAACGTTCACCACGGGAGAACAGGGAACAACCCCGTTAATAAACCACATTCATATGTACAAATAGACAAACTCTAGTTAAATTCATGAGACACTTGACTGTCACCCCAACCGACTGCCTGAAATAAGGGTTGTTCATGTAACTAGTGACCGTATGTATGCAGCTTCATTTACAGAGAAAGGGAAATTCTTAACATGGTTTAGGGACCCGAGGGAAACAATGTGCCAAAGTATGCCTGTTGATAAGGAGTTGAGTCTTATTCGAGCAGATCCTAAAAATAATAAAAGTATACCAGCAAAAGCTGAAAAGATTGGTCAAGTTAACTGAATGAAAAAGGCTGGGACCGGCTACTTTCCTTATAAGCCCAAGTTAGTTTGCTAGCTAGGTTAGCTAACTAACAAACTAGCTTCCAAGTGCAGTTTGTATCTAGGTTAACGTAGCTAGAAAGCTAACGTTAACGTTTATATTACTTCAAGAAACTGCATTTCTTCTGACGTTTCCTCGTTTTGGCGTTTACACGCTTTGGAGACTCAAAAAAAGCACAGCACGACTTCAGTGACTGACCAGATTATCGAGCTCGGTGCCTGCGCTGAATGAAATCTGGTTGTGGCTGATCTTCTGTCAGCAGATATGCGAGTGTAAATAGCTGACGGGTAATCGCAGCTAGCTTAACCTGCTAGCTGTGGAGATGAACCGCAGCACTATTTACGTTCACGACTAACAGGTTTTAAAGGGCTGCTACGATACGGAACCGAGCCTCGACCGTTACCTTGCTGCTCCGGTAGTCTTCAAACGCTCTCAGCGCGCTGTCAGTGAGTTTGACGTGAAAGACGGAGACATTGCTGCCGTTGCTTACTCTCCCGCAGGACAGTCCGTAACACTGCTCCTCCTTCAACGCCGCCATCTTGCTACCATTCCGACCGCGCTCACGCGCTCCGTCGTCGTCAAAAAAAAAGGCGAAAAAAAAAAACGCAAAACCGCCGTTGAGCTTCGCATGAATATTCATTAGACGTGCGTGACGCGGTGGGCCGGGCTTCGTCGCAAGCTTAACGCTCAGAAACGCTTGAAAAAAAAAAAGTGTAAACAAAAAAGCTTGAGGGCGCGAGATTTTTATGAAATTATTATGGACATATGGGGCAAAGATGGTCACAAACAAATCGTCCAGATAATATGCATCCCTTTTTGGTCATGAATTAGTAATGAGTCTAATAATGACACGAAATATGAACCATGCGGGGTTGGGACATTTGAGAAACGACGTAAGAAAGGGGAAAACAGAAGGCCAGTCATGGCTGCGTCAGAGCAACGTCATTTGCCAACCTATGACCAGGGAATGCCCCATCTATTAGCAGCGAGGCTGGACAACGGAAAAATGTACAATGAAAGGCAAAAGGCACTGTTTTCATCCCTGTGTTTGACCACACGTTCACTGCCCACTTCCTTCATTCGCTGCTATGACACAGAGTAAGATGGTTCTTCAAGGGCTCCTTTAGTAAAGGACCACATCCAACACACTCTCCATCAAGTTGAAGAACCATTTCCACATGCAAAGAACCATTTAAACATGAAATGGTTCTATATAAAACTTACTGTTCTAAATGCAATCATTCCCTTTACTAGAACCATTGAATAACCATCTTTTTTAAAAGTGTAACAGAACTGAACGTGCAAGAAATGAATGAATAAAATAAAAATCAAACAAAAAAACAAACAAAAGAAATAGAGCAAGGAATGTGGTTAAAACTTCCAAGACTACTTTTCATTACAACTCCACATGACCAACTACAATCAATCATTCATTATAAAATAAAATATCAATCAAAATCCAAACAGCTAAAATAAATAAGCTGTACATTAAACGAACATCATTAACATTTTGTGTAGTAAAAGAATTAAAAACTCTAAAATCAAACAAATTTGGTCTTGTTGGAAAACCCTTACAGTGTTTGGTCATAGAGAAATTAAAAGGTGAGGTATAAGCTTCCAAATGTGAATGAGGCTGTGAGTGAGGGAGGGCAAGGTAAGGTAAATGGACCTAAATGCAACCACTAATGTTCCTTCTGAATATAGGGTCCTATACTTGCTTGGAATCAAAACGTTGGAATCAAAGCTAGCAGCACACACATAATGAGCTACATTAGAAACAGTTTTGTTGATTTAGAAACAGAATGTAAGAGAATAAAGATGATAGTAGATGTAGTACTTAAAAAATGTACAACCTTAGACACACAATCTCACACACTAGAGGCCCTTTACATTACCAAGATTCAGAGAACCTAGATTAAACCACATCACCTGAACAAAAACGTCAGCAAGTCCAGTCGTTACCTTTCAAAACAAGGAGCACTGGGCAATTGGCAGCAATAGAGAACGGTGCCCAGTGATATAATGGATACATCAAACTGTACCTAGATACAGTTCCAAGCAATTATATGTTTATATTGTACATAAATAGGATTTATATAACATTTCTCACATCTATATTTTCCCAGGTCACCTTTCATGCAATGAAAGACAAATGTTGACACCATCTGAAACCTGTTTCAAAACATAGTACTATAAGATGATTCAGGTATGTTGGTTGACCCAAAAGTCTACTTCGCACTAGCATCCTGAACACAGATTCCATTTAATTTCTAGCAGCAATGACGACAGACAAGGCTACGCCTCCAATAGCAACAGCCGTAGCACCGAACAGCCATTTCCAGCTGAGCCCCTGTGTAGAGAAACAAAAGAAGAGAAGATTAGGTTTGTCATTTGTGCCATAACAGCTCTGTTTAGCATGAACAATTATGTTGACATGCATATTTTAATGCATTTGAGCACTATATCCACTAATGTGGGTTGGCAAGGGAGGTACTGAGAAACTGCAGCATACAACTCAGTTTTTGTCAAAAAACTTGTCTAGATTTGATTAGCTACAACATTGCAGTCCTGCACAGCAGTATAGCATTTTTAACTGGAAACAACGTTTTGTAGCAAATCACTACAATTAGTCATAAGGCTGAAAAGCAGATCTGTCAACATTCTGTACAGCTTGTGCAACCAGCAACAATTTACTGTTTGCAAAATAATGCATGAGGAGCCTCTTAGCCAACCACAGCTGTCTCTCAGTGCTACATTTTCTCGGTCAAGTAAGGGGAAAACGCAGAAAAACTCATCAGAACAAACCTGCAGTGAGAACACTGCTGGAAGTAAATTATAAACATTCATCTAAGAGAGGTGAAATGGTGTTACTAGGGAACTAGTAATTCAAAAATGCCATTTTTATTTCAGTCCTGAAGCTGGAAAAGTTCCAGAATAAACTATATGGAGGCCCTCACTCTTAGCTCAACATATTATTATAATATATTATTATAATATTAATGAACAGAATTATTCTGGCTCTAAAGTAAGCTAAAGTTGAACTAGATTACTGCATGTGCTAACACCGGTTTTAAAGTGATTTCTACTGATAAATAACATTACAAAACCATGTTAAGATCAGGTGGCTAGTTATGTTACCTTTTCAGAACGCAGCTACTGACAGTTAGCTTCTCTGTCTGCTTCTACTTTTTCCTTTGTGCTGCTGAACTTTTTAGTCTGTTAGCACAAGTGCTACAGATGCTACCAGGTAGAAAAGTTTGAATGTGAAAGACGGACAGAGCAGCACTAACTAAGAGAGGCGGTCAACTGTTATGAAAGAACACAGTGCTGCATTTATTAGCCTAGTGGTACAGTCGTATGCAAAAGATTGACCGCCCCAGTCAAGTTAGATGTTTTGTTGACTTAGTGAAAATAAGTACACATCCTGTACAAAAACACACATTTTAACACACAATTACTGTTTATTTAATAGATTTCACATATTGAAAATAATAATAATAATGCTAATAATAATAATAATAAGGCATGTGCAATTAATTCATATTTTGTTTTTTAATTTAAACTCAGGATGTAAACATAAATTGTACACTAACATTTAAAAATAAATACCATATTTAAGTTTGTACTGTTCTAGAGAAATTTACCAAGTCAGAATTAATCACGGTGGTGATAACAGCAACCAAACGTCTGAGGAGTTTTATGCCTCTAAATAGAAATGTATTACATGGAATAGTAATACGTACATTGCATGATTCCTGATACATTGATTTATGATAGTTTTACATAACATTTTGGCCTAAAACGTATATTTTTTAATATCTTGAAGGCAAAGGGGTTCATGCAGGGCATAAGGCAAAAGTCCTTGAAGATTAAATTAAATAAAATGGCTAAATTTGTGTGTAGACAATGCAGCCCCTGGTTCCTACCAACACCACTGTAAATAAATCTGAATCAGTCAGTTTCACCACAATTTTGTTTATATCTCACAATTCGTTAATGCATTTTTTTAATTACTGCTTCAACTGGGGGTATTTAAACCTTTGCATTCAACTTTATGGGGCCAGTTTCTATACTCACCCATGAGGACTTTCTGTACTGGGGTTTCTGTACTGTGTTGATGTCAGGTGGGTTTCCAAGCATCTTCTTATACATAGCCTGTTCAGCACCTTTCTGCTCTGAGTGCTTCTTCACCAGCTTGGACAGCTCTGCATGGATGGTCTGCCCAGAAGGAGAAAGCAGAGTCAAACCGTGTGTGCTTGTGAAGAGGCATGCTGATGTAACTGTTGCTCACACTATGACAGCCAGCAGCACACCAGCTCTTGTGAACAGCTCACAACCTGCCTGTTATTGTTATAGAACAGACTACAAGAAGTCTGATTTTCTGGAGAGCGCTTCCCTCACAGTACAGCCCATTAAACGAGGAGCATATGCAATTGAATCACAGGCATCGTTAGCTCTGCATAGGTGCAAGAGAAATATTTGTGTGGGAATGCGAGGCGAAACATTTCTTCTCTGTCTGAATCCAAGATCTCTCCCTTTTCCCAGCCGATGGTATACGTAACCCTGACTGCTGCTATGCAAGCACAGCATGGGTCACATAAAACAAAGTGCCTTCAGGAAGCATCTTCTCTAGGTTTAAAGTACAGTATGTTCGGTTAGGCATTCCTCTCCAGCTGCTTCCTCGATTAACATGAGCCTCATGTCCAGTGTAAGGTTTCGAATGTGCCTCACAGTACTTCCAATTCTCATGTTGCAATCAAGTGAACTCACCCTTATTCCTCATTATACAGATATTAACACAAGTGTGTGTAACTCTTTGAAACATGCTTAAGCTGTTTATTTTGATTATTAAAGAACAAAGCAAATTTTAATACTGAGCTGGTACAAATGTACGCCAACATTCTGAATTGGTGTGGGAGGCAAATACCAAGAGGAAACCTGGAATGTAAAGAATTGCATGTTATGTAAGAGAAATGGACCACTATTCTTATCCACGCACAAGCCGTTGGCAATTTCATCACTGCCTAATGCAAATTAAGGGGGGGTGGGGGCAAAAGCATGATTCAAGGAATTAATAATATCAAGGCATTACTAGTTAACCATCTGTAAGAGGCCAGACACAAGAGAGGTGGACAGTACAGGCGTAGGTGGGTTAGTGGTGACATGCTGTTCACAGGCACACGGTACTGCACTGAGCTGGCCTGCACTGCGCTGCACAGATGGCGGAGAGCAGGGAACCTCATCCCTCTGCCTGTGTAAGCAGAGTAGGGCAACATCGCTTTAGATATGGCAAGTGTATGGAGAGATCTGGCTATTTTTGGCCTTGGAGAGAAATAAGATCCTGGGAGGTGACGAGAGTGCATGGCTGTCTGATCTTGCACAGAGCTGATGTGGGGTTTTACAGCACCACCTTCTGGTGGTTAACAGAATCACTTGTTTCTTTATTGTTCATGTCTATTCCTACATTAAATAACGTGAGCAGCAAAACAACCCCAGCAGCAGGTGTCAGCACTAAATGGTGCTTTTTTTGGATGCCCCTGCAGTACATCACATCACAGGCAGGGGAGCTAAGCATAATGTTTGTTCAAGTTATCTAAGGGACGTTTTTCTTTTAAATCTAATTTAAGGTACCATACAAATACTACCTTGTTACTTGGCTCCAACTTCAAAGCCCTTTTCAAAATCCTAATGGCGTCAGCATATTCCCCTTGCAGGGCTAGTACCTAGAAACACAAATGTAAGAAATAAATTGTAAACAGTTTAAGTAAAACCTGAAATAAATTCCCTTGTATCTGGGCTGCAACTTTCAAACTAATGCCGTTTTTTCCCCACAGGGCAGTATGGTACAGCACAGTGCAGTTACAAATCTGAACCCAGAACTATCTGTACACTGGGGTCTAGGCCTAACCTGACCTAGAGCAGGTTAGGCATGTAGCATTATCTGCTATGGTGATGTAGCCTGGTAAAAAATGATCCATGGTAGTGAGACAGACAATCCAGGGTTAGACTGAACTAAGCTTCAAGTTACCGGGCTAAGCAAGAAATCATACTTTGTTAGACAGCAGGAGTACTAGCGTTCGTTTCCCATTTCATAACAGAACTGGGAAAGTAGGTAGAATCCTTCTTAGTTCGCATTGTTCTATGATTTCTTACGCAAATCTAGCAGTAGCAGTAAACACAAACAGTAGCATTGATAGAGGAGCTTCATGTTCTGACTTACTGTTACACATTCGGTTTTATGGCAGAGTCAGAGAGAGTAATTCCAGCTAGCTAGTGTTTTTTTTTATTTATTCATTTATTTATTTATTTTGAACTGTGGTCATCTGACTCCAGTGACGATCCTACGATGACTACGTTTGACCAATCAATGGTCCGCATGTAGTTTACTAGCTCCACCCATATGGTTCAGCACACTTGGGAATGATGACAAAATACGTGATCATGGACTTGTAACCGTACCGTACTACACTGTCCAGTGGAAAAAAATGCCATAAATGAAAAATAAAAAACTAACTAAATCTCAGGGATATGACTGTGTGATGAAACTAACTGAAAGGATATGTGTCTACATGTGAGGTACCTTGCCCTGGCGAAACAGAGCTTTGATGTTGTCTGGCTGATGAGCTAGGACAGAGACACAAGAGCGCAGTGCTGCTTCATAGTGATCCAGCTTGAGCTGAGCAGCAGCCATGTTGTTTAGACATTTCACCTTCACGTCCAACAATTCTTCTTCTTCCTGTGGGCTGATGTCCACTGAAACAACAATAACACAATGGTTTAACTACTGATGTAGCATATGTAATGCTAATATGGTTCTGTTCAATAACATATGCAAACAAAATGTGTTATTTGAGATAATAACCATTTCACATCAAAGCACTATAAAAAAGCTCAGTGTGCAGAATGTGGAAATAAGGATCCACAGGTCTATCTAGGTGTACTCATTAGTCAGGGGTTCCTTTCGCTAGGATATTAGCAAAGACAGCAATATCACAGTGAAAAATGTAGCTGGGTCAAGAATTGATACAGTATTGATGTTTTCCAGTTAGCAAGGCAGTGGCACTGAGGCGCCTGACGTCTGTGTCTGATCCACTCACACCTGCGCAACACACACTAACACACCACCATCACATCAGTGTCACTGCAGTGCTAAGAACGATCCACCACCCAAATAATACTTGCTCTGTGGTGGTCCTTTAGGGAGTCCTGACCATTGCAAAACAAAGGGGGGCAAACAAATTATACAGAGAAACAAAAGGAATACAGTCTGTAATTGTAGAACTACAAAGTGGCCCTATATGGAAGAATGGACAATAAGTGTAAAAACAGTGAGGTGTACTTCATGAAGTGGCTGGTCAGTGTAGCAGTCATGCTTTGGGCGTTGTCATTCAGAATTGCAGGGTTGGGAATTTCTGTTAAGATGTGACTCAGCATGAAAGGGAAACAGCTCCCTCATTTCTGAATCACATGGATTTCCAGAGATTGCGTACTTAAAACCAAGAAGAACAGGAAGAATGTATAAAAATTTATGTGAGAAATTGAGAAATAAAGTAGCTCTCTGCCATTCATGCTGAAGATTTGTGTAACAGCAATTTCATGGCAAATGTGAATGTGAGCATCCTCGTAAAACTTTTCGAGCACTACAATTCTAAATCCAAGTTAAAATATGCCTATAATGTCCTGGGTTTTGAGTGTGAAAACAAATATGAATTGTCTAGGAAATTTCCAAAAGATACACAAGAATAAAGCTGAGCTTGCTAATCAAACAGTAAGCTACATCCAGTACTGTGAATGCAATGCCTGAATTTTCCTTGAGTTGTTTCAAAATCTGTTCACATACAAATCTTAATGGATGCCACATACACATTAACCTGTAAAATTACTACTTTTTATAGTCTTGGTTTAATAACACATAACCCACCATAAACCCAGTGTTTCCTCTTTTGCCCACACTGTAACTCATCCTATAACCACAGTTGTAGACTACAATCTCCAAAAAGCACCTCTTATCCCCGGGATAGGTCACAATAAATTACTTTCTTTATTTACCTCTTGAGCTTGCTTCTGTTATCTGCAGCGCTATCCCATAGGAGTTGACAGCAAAAGCATAGTCGCCACGCTGATAGTGAACATTGCCACGTTCTCGTTTCTTGCTGGCCAGGCTGATCCTCTCAGAGGGGGACAGGAGCTCCAGGTCTGGACCATCAGCAGCAGACAGGAGCTGCACCTCCAGAATCAGATCAGCATCAGGAGGCACAGCTGGAGTAGAGCTGCAAGTGAAGAGCGATTAGCAGGTCACGAAAAAACAAACACAGACAATTTATGCAAACAAATAAAAGGCTCACACTGTGAATAAAAGAGAGATCACAACACCAATGTTTTGGCAGTCAGGGCCGATACCAGTAAAACTACATGATTCTCAATACCGGAATCTAATCCACAAGAAAATCAGAAAGGCATATTCTCATTTGCTAAACAAAAAACTCTGTAATAATTAAATTGGAAATCCACCGATTTTTCAACATTTCTGTACAATTAATTTGCAAAAATGTGAACAGAGTCATTCAGAGTGGTTTGTTATGAAATGCTATGATTGTAGATAAACTTACTGAGTCAGAATTGTTCACACTGGTGGTGTAAGGAACCAGATCTCTAGAGTGTCTAAATGCCTCTCAAAGCTCACTCACAGGAAGCTATTACACAAAATGGTTTTGAATACACTGCTTGATGCACGAGACATTGTTTTACAAGTTTTGGTATAAAATTTCAGCAAAAATTGTATCTCAACATACATCCATGGTGGGTTTTAAGGCAAAATAGTCCCCAACAAAAACTCATTTTTTCCCCTCCAGATGTATCACTATTTTATCATGATCAACTTTATATGTTAATATTCAGAAAACACATGTAGGTTTACTGGCCATTTTGGATAAACTAAAATAAAATGGCTATATTTGCCTGGTAGACATAGCAACCGCCTGGCTCCTATTAGTCCTGGGCGATATATAAAAATAATTCGCACAATATTTCTAGTTTAAAAAAAAAAATGCAATTCTTGCAATTAGGGCATACTTTATACTTTTCAAGCTATAAAATGAGTACTTGAAACTCATTTTATAGCTTGAAAAGTAAGGTACTTTAACTAACATTCAATAGTCATACCATACATCGTACACCAGTACTTTCAAATAAAAATGGCTGATTGTTGGCTGCACTATTAAGAAAGAACAGATCTCCAGGACACTATAAGTTGGTTCTGCATATATAGATTACGCCTAGTCTTTGATTCATCATTGAAAATCCTTTTTCGTCCAGGCTTAGGCCTAATTTGGGTCTAGGAAACTCATCCTATGAATGGAATTGTCAGTGTGGTGTCAGCAACAGATTACACAGCCTCACAGAGTCAGGTTTTGACTACAGCATAGCATACATTACAACATTGATGGTTCACATTTAACAGAGACAAACGTCTTTGCAAGGTCGAGGCTTTGATTTCAGCCCATGTTAAAGCTTATTCCCACCAAGTTTTGAAAATGAACGCATAAATATTAATGCAGTCTTTCACACTGAGTCTGAATCTGGGGGACTCCAGCACTGCATAAAATGTTAAATTAGTTTCAGCTCAATTTTTGTGCTGTACAAATATATTAAAAATCAAGCTGGCCAATCAGAGCTCCAGTGTCATGATTGCAGTCCAGTCAAATGTGCATCAAGATGGGCTCCCTGCTGTTTGTTTAGGTATTTATAATGAGAGGAGCTATGGGCAGAAGCAGTACCTTGAATTCCCCAACTGACCTACAAAAATACTGTCAGAATCTCTTATTATACAGCTTCAGGTCTTGTATAAGGCCGTGGAACTCCCCATGTATTTTTATGTGGAAAAGGTTCTGTGTTGTTTAGTTGCAGTGCTTAAAAGAAAACTAATAATTAATTGTTGCTACTTCTTCACAATCTTTCTCCTCTTCCACCTGCTTCTCGTATTCGGAGCAACAGGCTTGATGTACAGGTACACTACTAGTGCATTAGGTACCCTACTACTACTACATTGAAATCGCACCTGTTTTTTCCCCATCGGGAATAAACCTTTAGAAAAAGCTTAATCCCAAAATCTCAAGCAAGCAGAAAGATATTTAACGCTAAACGAGTACTGTCATAAGTCTCACCTCCCCAAAGCTCCGTATGCATATTTAGCACCTGCTTCAACCAAGGCCTTTTCACCCATCTCCATCAGCTGTACAGTGAGATCCAATGCCTGAGAAAAGAAGTAAAAGGTTAGTAAACAAAGTCTGAGGCACATCATTAGAGATCCACTCTCCATGAAATACAAAACCATATACCTGAATGACATCACCATCACCAAGAGTGAAAGAGATGTTTGACTCCTCCTCTACTGTGGTTCCATCAGTCAGATTGGTCTTAAGATTAATGGTGACAGTTTGGCCCCTCTGAGGTCTGCTGTCAGGACCAGACCCAACTTCTAAAACCTTCTTTCTCAGCTGCCCATTGCCTATGTACACATTTTTAATTAGATAAACAAACATTAAACACTGCACTATAGAAGATTACAGACTTGAACTATTTCACAGAGAAACTCGGTTTCATTTATAATACACCCTTTTTAAATAAACTTGTGTACCTAAGACATCCAGCCATTCCTCTTGGGGTGGAGAAGGACTGGGGTCTGTAACAGCTTCCGCTTTTGCTGTTTCTGCCTGGCTGCTTTGTTTCTTTTTACCTCCCACATCTTCTAAAGGTGGAAGATCATCATCTACTCCATCATCAACATCTTCCAGCATCTCAAAGTCTTCCCCACTGTCTAACAGAGAAGTTCGTCCTGATTTTTTCTCAGATGAGTTCTGGCTGTTACCGTTCACAAGCGTGCTGTCTTTGTCTTCCATCTGGAAAAGATCTGAAACAGTCACAAATAGTTGGGCTGACAGACACCTGCTTTGTTTACTGTTGTTGTTTACTGTCATTAGTACAGAGCCATGCCAGTCAGCTACTGATATAGGGCAGGAAATTTATTTGGACAGGGGTGCATTTTTACCTAACCACATGTACAAACTACAAAAACATATTTACAAACAATTCACTGTACAATTAAGTATGTTTGATTAAGATTTGGGATTATATAATATGTAACACCACTATACTACAAATTATTTGCAGGTTAATGTTTCTTGTACAGTAACTATATGAATTTGTATAAGGAATCCACAGTATTCTTGGTCCTGCAAAGGTCCAAAGCAAGACTGCAAGCAACATTTAAGCAGCTTACATCAAGCAAGATGGGCTACACAGCACTGCACCATTATTTACAATGCAGTAATTCTACTAACATTAACATACTGCAGTTTAGCCTGTAGGTTAACACATTATTATTCATGCTTACATAACTAACTTGTGGTGTCAGTAAGTTTCAGACAGGAACACAAGCTCCTCAGAAAGTCAGCTTATTCATTTTCTGCTAAAATGAAAGGTGAATTCCACTGATTTTTAATTTTTATTTTGCATCATTCTGTCGTTGCGATGTACATAATCATTCAAAGTGGTTTGATATGGAAATGGTCCACTGTAGAGAAAGTCACAGACTCAGATCTTTTTACAGTGGTGGTGAGAGGAAGCAGGGATCGCCACATCTGCAACACAAACATAGCCATTTTATTTATTATCCAAAACCACCAGTGAACCTAGACGTGTCTTCTAAGTTTTATATGTAAAGTCCATGATGGTAAAACAGTGGAAAATCTGAAAAAAAAAAAAAAAAGTTTTTTCCGGACTACTTTGCCTTAAATTGCACTGCATGTACCCCTTTGCCACGAATGGATTAAAATAAATGGATTAACAAGACGTCTCACGCCAAAATTTTTCTCACAAAATTATCATAAAACAATGTATCAGGCAGCCTATTCATAACCAATTTGCATAATACCTTTCTGAGAGAGTTTTAGAGGCCTTAAACTCTTCAAACGTCTGGTTCCTATCACCACCACTGCGAACAATTCTGACTCAGTAAGTTTCTGATGCGTTTCACACCAAACCACTCTGAATGACTCCATGAATGTTTACATCTTAACCATTTAATTATGTAGAAATTTTGAAAAAAATAAAGGAGTATCCCTTCAAATATTTACCTAAAGGCCTAAGGGTGTCGAAGGTTGCTAGTCCAGCTGTAGTTAACGTTAGTTTGATTCGATACCCAGCGAGGTTAACCTTTATTCAGCAAGCCACCAACGCAAATCTCACCTCTAGCGTTGTAAACAAGAGGGCCTGTTATATGTCTAATGATATTCAACCTGGAAAAAGGACACTGGGGACATGAGGTCAAATGATAATACAATACATATCTTTCATAATTCAGTTCAAAAGCTTATTACATGGATTAATGCAGCTTGCTAGGCAGTTGGCTAACGTTAGCTAAGCTACGCCGCTGGGCAACCAACAGCACCAGCAGGGAAAACATACCTTACCGTCAACTATACCGTTACTTATCTATTCACATGTGCGATGACATAACTACACACATTCACGGGCGACGTATTATCACGCTGTTCTAACACAAGTCACTTTATTAATTCATAAGTCTTTCGAGAACTTTCTGCAAAGTTTGCTCTTAGCGTTAGCGAGCGTTCTCAGTTAGCTCCAATGCTATAGCAAGCTAAGCTGACCTGACCAGCGAACTTTATTGGAGCATTTCACACATTTTACAAGGCGCTCGTTGCCAAGTGTCACATGAAGCGTTTACTTATAAACCTACCCAGAAATTCAATAACTCACCCGGTGCAAAGAAACCCTTTCAAACTAAACCAAGAAATAAGCAATAATCTGAGCTCGACGACAGCAACAACTTTGACAGCAAAACAATCGCTTCTGTTTCTTCCAGAACATGGGTTGCCCTAATCGTTTCAAAATAAAAGTCCCTGGCACAGGAATGAAAGGCACGACGAAAGGTAGCTACGTTTTTATCTTGCCATAACTAAAATGTCTACAACTGCACGTAACACGTGTTTGAAGATTTTAGTAAATACTAATATAAGATTTAGTCATTTTAATAGACTACAAACTTCACCATATTCTTCTATGATCCATTGTTGCTACCGGAAAAATCGTTTTTTTAACATTTCTAAAAATGTCATATGCTCTATTTATACTGTCACACTAATATTTAAGATGATCCTATTTCTGTATAATAATGCGATACATAGTAATGATAAAGATTTGAATAGAATCAATCACAGTAGCCTAAGCTTACGTATCAAAATAAAGGTCCCCACTGTAAATCAAGCCACTCATTTAGAGTTGATGGGCAATGATGCACTGTAGAGAAACACCAATGTGGATTTATTTACACTGGTGGTGATGTAAAGCAACCGGGGTTACGATGTCTATAGCTATTTTACAAAACCTACTTTCCAAAATGACCAGTGAACCTACATGAGGCTTTTGATTTTTTGTAAATAACGTTGTCGAGAAGGTAAACAAAGTTTTTTGAGTAAACTACCAAAAAACAATGTCTCAGACTGGCAATGTTCTTGTGACCATTTCGTGTAGTAGCTTGTGAGGACGTTTCTCTAAAACAGAACATTTCACACCAAGCCAATCTGAATATCATTTTCTTTACATCTTAACAATTTATTTATGCAAAAATGTAAAAAAAAAAAATGGTGAAAATCCCCTGTTAAGATACACAAGGACACTCAGACCCAGGAAAATATCAAATTACATTTATTATTGATGCAGCCATTTGTTTTTGATAAGCAAATTTTCTTTTTTTTCTGTCAGTCTAAAGAAACTTTACAATATAAAGTAACATACAAAGGACATCTTTATTACCTACACAAGACACCTAAGTCCCTAAGACACAGATCCAAACTAGCCTACCATGAAATACAAAGCAAACCCAATGAGACAGACTGCTTCATATTGAATACTGTCATGTCGCCAGAAAGGACAATGAAAGGTACAGGAAAATCTCATTTCTTCCCTCCCTCACCAAACCTCCCGAATACACCCCCGCCCCCTCCCCCCAAACCCTTTCCCAAATTCTTCCTAATGTTACAGTATTATACATCACAATAGAAGTACAGAGATGGCCAACAATTGTACAATTAAGGACTGAGAGAGGATCAGAGAATCAGTCTGCACAATGCCATCTTCAAATGCAGTGGAATGCAGACCGTCTCATATTACGTTTGCACTCGTAAGTTGAAAATTTGCACTTTTGGTCCCTTGGTTGGATGGTACATTGGTCTACATCTGTGAAATGGGAAGGCTACATCAATTTGATGGCTCTCATATTGCAGTTAACAGGGACCATAATATCAATAGGATGTCCTGCAGAAAGTGCAGCTGTCTTCAGTGAGTGAAGGTCAAATAGCAAATTGAGGTTAATTTGTGTGAATACAGGCCAGCACGTATCACGATTGCTAGCCTTAAGTGCCACAATGTATCAAACAGCCATCTCTCTCTGTCCTTTTGAAAACTATATACAGCTCTGTCTTCAGACCCAGAAAAAAAAAAAACGCTTTTCTTTCACAAACACACTGCCGTATTCGCAAATCCCACCAGAGATACAAATGTTTACAGTGAGTTTAAATTTGATTCTTTTTGAGGTATTAATTCAGAAAAATATTTTCTCGTATTCCTTAGTTTATGCAATAGGGGTTCCCCTCAATCTGTTACTTTACACCAAACCATCTCTTTAAAATACAAAAACACAAAACAAATTCTTTATAACTTATTTTCAGCTGTACTCGTTGGTTGTGACTGACATATCAAAACATGTCAATGATATCAAAATGCATTTTACAGTATTTACAAATAAAATCAAAAGGTGAAGGGCAGTAAGAAAGTGGGGGAGGGGGGCTGGGATAGGGTTGGGCAGGAGGGGGCTGTGTATCAGCCAGCTCGGAGAGCACTGAGTGACTATTTACTCCTCAAATTGTGATCAGAGGGTGAGCCTGGTGCTGAGAAAAACCCGCATAGTCACGGGACAAAAAGCATTTTCAGTGGCGGCCCAATCAGATTTTACAGGTCTAAACTAAATTTAAAACCGTATCTGAAGCACAGTGATATGGACACGCAATCAGAACGAAAGGGGTAATCAACAGGGTCGATAAATGTGGCAGTCGGATTTATCACGATGTCCACAGGACCGATAACGAGTGACCAAACTTCCTAGCTGGGACTTATGAGGAGTTTTCAGACTGCACATTTGAAAACAGAAAATAAACATACACTAAGAAAAAGATGGAACCACACAAGATTCACAGACAAGTAGTGTATTGAAAATACAAAGGAGACTCAATGACCAATAAGAGAAGTAGGTTGTATTTACAGGTATGGGACTTAAAAATAAAAGCATGAGGAACTGCCATGGAGCCTGTAGGAGGATTTTTTTATCATTATTTATATTTTCTCTCCGCTCCTCCAGGCACTCAGGATTGAAAGAATTCAAAATCATTTCAAAATCAATACATGATGCCAAAGTCACAATAAACATTAATGACAGCTTACATGTAACTGTAAGGGACATTACAATGAATAGAGGTGAACCAATTACAGCTGGGATGCTTTGACAAGGCAAGATTAGAGCAAGTCTTTTTAGTAAGTAAGCCTACTGACAGTGACTGCAATAAGCTTTTTCATGCTACATGATAAAAACGCAGTGAAGACAACACATGAACGCACAGGTCAGGCATGACGAAAACAGCTGAAAAAAGAACATCTGGGAGGGTGCAAAATATTCTACAAATGTTTCAGATCCAGTGCTGACAGTGATTGCAATCGTGTGATAAGCAGACAGCCATCAAATTCATACAGACTCAAATACTGAGAAGTACACTTTTACTATGGTAATCTGGTAGTGATGACATCAGTTCCATGAAGAACACAGGAAGAGGTATATGTAAGGAGACATCCGACAAAACAAACAAACAAAACAAAACAAAAAAAAGAGACAAATACCTAAAATCATGTAAACAGAGGTGTCATTGTGCATTCTTGAGTGTGTGCTTATTCTGTCTTCAATGTCGTTGAGATACAAATGTGCCCTTTACAGGAAAATCCATAAAATCATGACTACATCATAGCAATATCAATTATGAAAATCATAACAATAATATAATCAATAATATACAAATATATAATGAGGAGACCGTTTCTGCCCCGGAGCTATCATCACCAGTTTAGCTTTTCCGTTTCAGAATGTACACGACAGTCGAACAGTGGACCGACTCAAGCCTCTGTCGTCGACTGCCGTTAAAAGACGTTAAAGAGGAGAGAGAATAAAATGTGACTGAAATTAGACCACCGGCCTTGGCGCTGAGCAGCAGCAGCTTGCTGTGAGTTTTTCTGGAACAGTCCCTCCCATACAGAAAACCACACGCACACACACACACACTCATACGCTCATTAACACCCACACTCTCAGGACCCTCAGTGTCCTGGGCCGGTAAGGAAGCCAGGCAGGCAGGTGGGGGTGGAGTGGAGATTCTTTCTGTGGCTTGTGGCCTGCTTTCGTCCTGCGGACGCCACCGCGCCAGCTTTGGAGTGGGGAGACCGGCCAGGCATCCTGCGCTCCGTAACCATGACGACGGGCTGAGGGGAGCCGCCCCCCAACCAACCCAGAGTGTTACAAAAGGAGCAGAGGACATGGGAAGGGGGGAGACAGGGCAAAAAGTGGGTATAAAACCCACCGGATGCAGTGTAATGTGAAGAGGGGAAAAAGCACGGAGGGATAAAAAAATAAAAAAATAAAAAATAAAGGTAAAATAAAAAAAAACAAAACGAGGAAAAATAATCAAACACTCATCGTCATGTTGGGTGAATACTGTAAAGAGAAAAGAGAGAAGGGGAGGGGGGTGGAGGGAGCACAGTGATGAGCCAATGTTCTTATGCTTCACACAGATGATGACAATGCTTCAAAAGTTATGAAAATGTCCAACTGTGCAAGACAATGATGAATGAAGGGGCTCCAAAACTGCAGATTGGTTAAAATTTAACTGGCGCAAAACTGATTTTTGAAACAAGTTTCGTAAATTGTTCTTGGCCTGGAAACGCAGATCTAGGAAGAGCTGTTACAAAATTATGATGACACTTCTCAGCCAATCACATTGGTCTCTAAATGTTCCTTCCTCCATGAATCACAAGAAAAACTGACAAGACTTCTCAATAAACAGCAACCTGCAGTAAAACGTCAGTGATAGTAAATTAGTCATAATTATTACACTAATAGTTCGGGAAAGGTGTTACTGAGGCCTGGCATAGGCTATTTTGGTTAGCTGGAGGGTGCCATTGGTTTCATTGCAATCTTGAAGCTGAAAGAATTTGCACTAATCTGGGTCGAAGACCACATTCACTAAATGTCAACACTATTAACAAGTAGGCCTCTAACAGAAGTTTCATCTAGGTTACTGTATTTGCTTAAAATCATTGCCAAATACAACGTCTACCAATATTGTTACAAAACACATTAAATTAGTATCAGTAAGCTAACTAGTTAGCTTTTCTTAGCTGCTGACAGCTTCATACATCAATCAGATTGCAGAGAACTGTAGAGTGCTCACATCTGTGATTAAAACTTGGAAGATAAATATTAATGTACTTTTACACACACCATTCATTCTTTCATCCTCCTCTACTGTTCTACTGACTGGCTCTAGTGTTAGCTTTAGCATTAGCTCATCTGAAAGGGGTAGTTTTCATCACTAAACCGCTTTAACGCTGAGTGACTAAATGATTTCTCTGGTCTGATTAAACCCTCTAAATTGGCCTACATTCATATGTTATCAGTTCTTAAACATGTCTGTCTGCACTGAACATCTTATAAAAGGCGGTTTATTTTTTAAATAAAAATGTTTTTTATTCCTCTTTGTGCTCCTAAGGTTTCCCTTGCATTACTAAACCTTTTAGTCTAAACCATGTCAAGTTTTTTAAACTTTAAAAAAGGATTTTTTTACACTCATATATCTCATTTATAAAACCAGATCTTTAAAGAATTTCCACTGTTAAGTTCTTTGAGTAACCCAAAGTGTTTCCAAAGAATGCAAAGCCTGCAGCTATAAATCTCTGCCCATGACTGCTCCATAAGAAAAAATCAGCGTCCCACAAACATACCGTATTTCATTCAATTAATTTAAGACTCATTTACAGAATGTATATTATTTGTAGAGTAAGGTCACAGGCCTCTTCACATTTCTGAAACAAAGCCTTCTCAATTAGGCTATTAATCAGGCAATGCTTTAAGTAAAGTCTATTTACCACTCAATTTATGAAAACTGCAACTATCTAGTGGATATACATTCAGCATTACTTTCGAACTGAAGAGATCGACCACAGTGTAAGGTGGTTAAAGGCTGGGGGAAAGGAGGGAGGGGCAGAGTGGGTTGCTGTGTGTTAACACTTACACTTTCACTTTGGAATGGGTTTAAGAAGTTGCCTGCCATCTCTCCCTCGTCCCGCGGAGTCCCTGGAGGGTTATTCATACCTGCCATATTGTTTGGAGAGTTCTAGAAGAAAAAGGGTACAAGTTCAGCATGAAATACTAAGACTGCTTGAAGAGCTGGAATAAATGATTTGCAAAGAGCAGCTGTGACTGCTGCTGAATCTCCATCTCGAGAAACGTCTCACCTTTGGCAACCCATCCATATCCCCCGAGCCTGTGAACACAGGAAGTGACATAGGCATGACTACAGCGGTCCCTGCAGAGGCTTGTTTTTCAACTGAGTGAGCCCACACAGGTGGCTTCATGGCTTCTTCAAATCTGTATTACAATACAGAGCCCTGCTGGTTATCAAAATAATGCGTGGTCACGCCTTATTAACGCGTGGGTACAAGATCCTAATGCATGGCGATGAATTAGTAAGGCGTGGGAATGAGATAATTAAGTCGTGGCCACTACTTAGGAAGGCATGGGAAAGAGATCATGCCTTACTAAGTCGTGGCCAAGCATTAGGATCTCGTTCCCACGCCTTACTAAGTCATGGCCGCACATTAGGATCTCATTCCCAGGCCTTATTAAGGCGTGGCCACAACTTCATTATCTTGTTCCCATGCCTTAATAAATCGTGGCCATGCATTATTTTTATTCAGTCACCAGCGGGGCTCTGTGTTACAAAGATACAGACTATCAAATGTGCTATAAAAGGTTAAACTGAACAATCAAAGTAAAAACACCTATAAATGTCTTACCTAGTGACCCGTTCATATGATGTGGTTCCATTGACCCCATTCCACCCATTGGGCCGTCAGGGCCAGGCCCCATTGGGAACTGGAAGAATATGACATAGATTATACAACACATTGTACTATTATTATATACACAATGATCATTAAAAACATTTCTACACATGCAGTCTTTATCACAGAGCTCCAAACCCACTCAGCCACAGTCACACAAGGCAACAAATAACCAGTCTGAACTCACATTAGGTCTGTTGCCGCCAGGGCCGATAGGGTTCATCATAGTGTAGATGTTTTCACTGGAATTTGTTGAGTCTGAGTAAAGATGAAAACAACAGTTATGATAAAAGTTTTATCTGGAGACCAGTTCTGCTAAGCTACATCTATTAAAAACAACATTCTACCTAAGCTTGTGGCCAACTATTCCAGACTGTTTGAGAAAACATTATGATGTTGCACTTAACTCTCACGTTTCCCCTTTAAACAATTAGGCAAAAATATGCTCGCTTTATTGATTGAGGCTTTTACATTGTCTGTATGAAAGTATAAACCACGGTCAGACTGACCTCCTGGGCTTGGCATGATGGGCGTTCCTGGTGGCCCTCCACCTCCTGGAGGCCCCTGTGAGCCAGGACATAAAAACAAACATAAAATGAAAAAGGGAACGTTCTGTGTTATATGAAAAAACTCAGCAGTAAGAGCTGCCTTTCGAGTGCATGGCCTCTTTAATGATGGAAACCTGGCGTGAGACTTACCACATAGTTTCCAGGTGACGAGGATGAGTATGCTATCTGTGGGGAGGAAGAACAGGAGCGAATAAGAGCAATGGCGACTGATGTTACTTGTCATCAGTGTCATATTAAACAAAACTTATTTCTGAACTATATTTCTTTCATTATTTTGTATTATTGGAAAATGTCAGACATTGTGTGAACATTTCAGGATAAATGGGCCAATAGAAATGATCCAAATCTCACTATATTAACATGTTTTAATCATATACAGTTGTATGCAAAAGTTTAGGCATCCCTGGTCAAATTACACATTTTATTGATCCTCTAAGTGAAAATAAGTTAACACTTATGCGAATGTTAATACATGATTTCTGTTTATTTGCTAACAAATACTGAAACATGAAATGTGGTCTGGGCAAATGTTGCGGCACATTTTGCATTTTATTTTTTCCAAATTAACAAAAATTTGACCAAAGGTGTTCATTTTTTAATGTATGTATTTATTCCTTTTCCTATATTTACCATTCCTGTGATATTAGGTTTTGTTATGGCAGTGATGTGATGCAACAAATAAGAAATTTTAACATTTTTTAAAGAAATATTATTTAACAAAAACACAGGAAATGGACTTACTGAGTTTGCATTAGGATTTGGCCAGGGACCTCGACCACCCGGACCCCTTTGAGAGAGAGCACAGACAATGAATCAGTCAATTAGTCTTTTTCTGTGTGTATAAAACTGATAGAACCCTCATATCAGTGTACAGCAAGACTCTTAAATGTGCTCACATGTTCATTCCTGACATGGCTGGGCCACCAAGAGAGTTAGGAGGAGGCCTCATCCCACCACCATAGTTCTACACAGAGAGAGAGAAGAAGATTTGGTTAGAAAGAAAACACCACTGGCATGTGCTAAACAACAGCAAACCAAACCCAGACTGCCCAATCGCACAAACAGTCCTCTACTGCAGTTCAGTATGAAATGAAATACAGCAGCCCCCATCAATTTTTTACAAATTCTGCATAATTAAATCATTAAATCATGTAAACAGGGTGGTTTGATGTGAAATGCTTTTTTCCAGAGAAACATGCTGAGTCAGAATTGTTTACAGTGGTGGTGATAGCTACCAAATGTCTGAACGGTTATGAATATGAATGGTTATGATTACACTGTCTGATGTCTGAGACATTGTTTTAAGATAGTTCTGAGATGAGATTTTGGCCTAAAATATATTTTTAAAATCTATTCCCGGCAGAGGGGTACATGTAAGGCAACATGGTACCCAAAAAAACGTATTTGCTCACATTTAACACTATTTTACCATCAGCAACATTATATACAAAAATTCAGAAGACGTGTAGGTTCACTAGTCATTTTTGACAGTAAAAAGCTATATTTGCATTGAAGACATTGCACCCCTAGTCTGTAAGTTTCTTTACAATGAAGCATTTCACATTAGATCCCTCTGAATGACTGTTTACATCTCAGCAATTGAACTATGCTGAAATTTTGGAAAATCAGTAAAATTTCCCTTTAACTTGTATGATAAAGCTGTGTATTGTGACTAGTTAGTATACTTTATAACATGGGTTACACAACTTAAAATGGTTTGGATACTGCATATCAAAAATTTAGTCACAGCTTTCTCATTGACCAATCTATACATCAACAGAGGTGCTTTCTTTTCACATTTGAGCGGTTTCTGACTGACCTGTGGGCCCATGCCTCCCATCCCCCTGGGTGGGTTCATCCTCATTGGGCCGCCCATGTTTGGATGTCCTGGATGAAGAAGAGGGAAAGAAAATCATAAAGACTCAGTATACATCAGTGTCAGGTGGTTTGAAATTACTTTTCACGTGAATGTTATTATTTTATATATTTATATACATTTTATAATGTTTACAATGTAAATGTTAAGCAAGGTAATTATAGACATCTATTCAATATCTCATACATTTTGACAACAATATGTTACTCAATGCTAATAATCATACAGAAGTTATGTATTTTAACATTTTTGTCAAGTCTTCTTTGTTATAAAGGATGTTCTAGATATCAATTTTAATGTAACATGTTAATGACATGTTTGATGCTCTACAGCAAAGGTCTTCAAATCAGGCTCTTGAATCCAGTTCAGTTAAACTACCAGTAAATACAGTCCAAGGGCCTGAATTTAAAGACCTCTGATCTACAGCTTTCTCAGTACTTTCAGAGTTATCTACAGCTTATCTACAGCTCCTCATTCTAGAAGCATCTAAATTTTCTTTCCTTTACAGTTTCCTGCTAATTATTTGAAATCCACACAGCACTAGCATGTTTAAAAACAGTTTGTACCTTAATTTGCAACCAAACTGGATTAATATTATTGACACCTTTGATTCCAAACATTGCAACCCTGTAAATGTGAGTGATGGCAGTTTAACTCTACCCTGTGGTCTGGGATCCAAACTGTTTGGCAGGAGTGGCTGTGACCCTGGAACACCCACAGGAGGCTGAGGAGGAAAAGAAGGACAGTAAGAACAAGTGAGAACTGATGGAGAACAGAGGGGACCAGGACCTCATATAAAGGAGGTGTGTCAGATACCTGATTTGGCATGCGGAGTGATGGGCGGGGTCCCCCTGGGTACCGTGGAGACATGAAAGGCTGACAAGAGAGAGAACAGAAGAGCCACAGTCAAACAACAAAGTATCAGTTTAAGAAGAGCAATGCAAGCACATAAATCGTACTTTAAACACACCTCTTTGTGGTCTTGTCAATAAAGCAAAATGGACTATTTGAGTCATCCAAGCTTTATTGTAGCTCTAATATCAACCTGTCACTGCTGGGTTGTGAACTTTGCCAGGTTTGCCTGTTGGACATTAGTCCGTGTTGGATATTCAGGTTCAGTTCAATTCACCATTCACCTCAGTTAAATCATGTGCTGCAACCTGCATATATAAACTAGTCAAGTTTCGACTGATGGACAGCTATTAAGTTTACAGATGTTCAGGTCACATAAGCCCTGCCTCTTAGAAACTGACTGGACCGATTGGCCGTATTGTTTTTAGGAACAAATATTCTGAGACCAGTTTTGCAAGGGTTAAAATTCAGCATTTTACGGTGAAATCAACTCAACTTAAGATATTTTCTGTGATAACAAAGCAAGTTACTTTAAGGTTGACCATGAGCTGTACCTAGCTGTACATAGCATTATGGGATATGACAGCAACTGAGAGTTAAAAAGGCATAGATATTGTAAAATAAATATTTAAATTGTTTTTACTCTGATGATTTTGGTGATTTAAAGACTTTAAAAGTTTTATATTGGATTTTTTTTCTTTGTGACTGTTTAAATGCTGAAATGCTTTGATTGTTTAAATGTTATTTAAATGCTTAAATCCAGTTAAATCAAGTTTTTGGTCACATTTGTACAAATTAGAAACAAAGTTTGAATGTCTATTAAATGTATTTTGCATTAAAAGAACATTTGAGATATTCTATGCATGTACAGTGCAAAAAATGGTGTATAAATACATTCATAAATATGCTTCAATATTGTTTTTTAATTAAAATAAGTCTGGTAAAAGTAAAAGTCAAATTTTCATATGTATTACTTGCTAGTGAGTTGCATCACTTTTACAGTTGTTATGTAAAACTACATGAATTTTAATTACAGCTTATTACTATAAGGGTACAGCAGAATACAGCTTCATGCTGTATATCACTGTTGTCGGAACAAAACTTTGTATCTCCAAAATAGTAACTGTACAGGAGAAGGAAAACCTAGGTCAATGGAACCAGACTTTTTTGGGCCGTTTCTTTTGGTCCATTCATCATGAAATTTACACACAATGTATAGGGCAACAGGCATTTTCAAAAAAATGAAAAAATGAACAAAAAAAATGGAGATACCAGGTTTGGTTCCGACAGCAGCGATAAATAACAATATATATAATTGTGTCTATAACCATATATATGATCATATACTTCAAGGTCCAAGAGCACAGAAACATAAAATATTATTTGTTTGAGAAGTAAAAGAACACTACAATAAAAAATGCTCCAATATTTACAATAAAATATGTGTTTTGACACTTTGCTGTGTCTTGAGCGTCTTAAACAAGAAATAAAACTGGTGGACAGATGGACAGACAGACAGGCATGTAGTGACTATTACCAGTAGTGATGGCTGATATGGCAAAAATACAGCATCACAAAATTGAATCACACAAAATTGAAGTTTTCAAGATTCACAATGTGCATCACAATAATCAGTTTTTCATTTGATAAATTGGCATAGACAAAAAGGAACCAGTGGTGCCACATTAAAAAAAGAAACAATTAAATATAAAACTTACTGTAAAACAAAGGTAAACTTCCTAAAAGTTCAGAGTGATTTTAATTCAACGTATCACATACTACGCTGCACCTAAACAGGACTAATTATGCCCTCTTTTTAATGAAACACACTGACAGTCAGTGTTCTTACAGGAACAAAAAGACGTTTAGTGACATAATGTGATGTAATTTATTATCTAATGATAAACACCGACATATTGCCGACCCCTAACTACAGGGTACACTTCATGCAGTGCCCAATCATTGGAGATGAAAAGGGAAGGTGAAGTGCTGAAAGGTCCCAGCAGAGGACGCCATAACACTGCATGAAAAGCCTTGATCACTTACTGTGAACCTTACAAACAGTGTCTCTAAATACTGAGAGGAAAATGCTCCACATTTAAGTGTTAAATGCAAGACATTTGTCAAATATGAGAGTAAAAAATAGAAGATGTCACATTAATATACACCTACATCCATTTACAGTACTGTGTAAATATCAGAGACTATTTATTTATTCAATTTCCAGTCTAAACGGCCTTTAAGTACAAGTTCATTTTTTTCAGGAGATATTTTTGAGATCAGATTTAATCCACTTGTATAAGAAAAAGGAAAGTCGAAGAAAAGTAAGCGAAAGTGAACAAGAGTTTCCAAAACTGGAGTTTTGGAAAATTATTAGAATTGGAAAATTATTAGAAGATAAAGAGAAAATGGGACTCTTAACCTCCGTGCAAGACCTGAAAGACCACTAAAACTGTCCCCATCAGATAAACAGTAGTTAAAGCTCTCATTTTTGAGAGAAGGAGAAGAAAATCAAGCTCCACTCTTCCTTCAGATCACACACAGGTGTTTCTGTCCTTCCTTCCACTGTGAGAAGACAACTCAACACTACACGTCTAAAAGGATGTGTAGCTGTCAAGAAGCCTTTACTGAGAAAAGGAAATCTGCAAATCAACAAAGAAGCTGCTGCTCTCCAAACCATGGACTGTCCAGCCCAGAGTCCAGACCTGAGCATAGCTGAATGTGTTTGGGATTACTTGGATCATGAGAAGCAGAAAATGCAACCGACTTCTAAGACTGAACTTTGGAGGTGTGGAAAACCATTCCTTCAGCTTTCTTTAAAAAACTGAGAGTGAGGCTCCTGAAAACAATGGAAGCTGTAGTAAAAGTGAAAGTCTGACGCACTAAATTCTAAAAAAGGTCTATCATATTTAGCTGTTGATGCTTCTGTGTAATTGTCTGTTGAATATATATCTTTTCTACTTTCTGCACTGAAAAATATAACTTGTACTTAATACACGTTTTGATTGGAAATTAAATAAATGATGGTGGTCTCCGACTTTAGCACAGACTTTGAAGTACTTTGAAGCACCCAGACATTTACATGTGCGTACATGGACAATCACACATATACACACACAACACAATAGCACGTACTGACTCCAAATGTCAAAGATCAGAAAGACGAGAACACACACAAACACAAACACACACACACACAGAAACACGTGCCAATCCACTCAGGTATAGTTTTGTGTAACCCTCTTCAATTACAGTCATAAAACTGGATACTCCCCCGGCGATGTGTACAGAACAGGCGCACTACGCCACAACAACAAACTGCCTTCACAAACAATTAAACAGCCACCAGAGCTGTCGCTGATGCTTACAGAATGACCGCAGTCCTATGGGACAAACTTTTATGTTCTTTCTTTGATCAGACACAGCATGCATTATCCTGTTCAGCGTGTGGAAATGTGCATTTATATGTGTCTCTGTAGAGGATGTGTTCCCACACTGAATGTGTTTGGGATTATTTGGATTGTGAGAAGCAAAAAATGTAACCAACTTCTAAGACTGAACTTTTGGATTGGTTTGAAAAACTGAAAGCAAGTCTCCCAAACATGGAGGCTTTAATGAAGTGTGGACACACTAAATACTGAAAAATGTGACATGCTATTTAGCTGTGGACGCTCTTGTGTTAGTTTCTGCCACATGTATATGTCTGGTGCATCAGTGCATGCAAGCGTACACGTGGTCTGAACGGTCTTGACTCTGTGAAGTGCTTTTTACAAAAGCACTATGTTTCATTTTTTTAACTGAAAGAGTCAAGATGTTTTTTTTTGGTTACTAAAGTGAATGATAGGGTTAAGAGTCAGGCTTGGACTCTATTCTTTTTTTGGACTTTATTCTTTCATTATTACATATAACACATTGAGACAAATTATTGTCATACATACACCTGTTTATACAGTCATTTACAGGATGTGAAATTATTTATTAATTTTTTTCTCTACAGAAAACATACTAAAATATGAATGATTTGTCTGCCAATTTTAGTGCACATTTTCAATTTCTATTTTACTATTCTAGTAATTCTAATAATTATGCACTGGAATTTGCAGAAGCGTGTTATTTGAGAGGACATAAAATAAATATTATTATTACATATAGATACTTACTACATATGCAATGAATTATTTTTATATACAATGTATAATATTTTACATAAATATACATATATATTCACATATATACTACCTTTCAAAAGCTTAATAATTCAAATTTGTTGCACGTACATGATCAACAGAGCTGTAGATGATTTCATAATAATTGAAAAACCATAAAGCTCTGAGAATTAACTTATTTAAGCAATAGAACATTTCGCCAAAATATAATAGCCATTTGCATTACGAATAGGGCCATGAAACTTTGGCAATATTAAGTTTAGCTCAGTTTTTTCAATATTTCCCAAATTAAGCTGAATGTCATTTAGTTCCAGCCAGTCTGTGAAACATTTCAGAATCTTGCTTTCTGAATTGTATTCTGTTTGTTTCTGTGTAATTCTAGTTTGTTGAGTTCGCTTAGCATCAATGACAGGATCCCAGGGATTTCCAACCTTTTGCAACTCGTGGCCCACACAACTGACCACAAAAGCTTCTGCTGCCCACAAAAAAGTTTTAACCAGCCCAATCGTTTCAAACACAAGGCAATATGAAACCATAATCAATGTAGCTTATCAACTTTCACTTGACTGTATGATCACGCAACACAATGAACACCTAATAATATCTGAAATATTTCCATTTGTAGTCATTTATCTATGATGGTTAAGTTCCATTCGATTAAAAAGAGAAACGTTTTACATTCACTTGCACTGAGAATACAAATGTAACAAGCTAGCTACGTCAATTATGTCGGTCACGCATTTTGCCAGACTGGTCATTGAGTTTGGTCTAAACATTTTTACAAACATCACAAGAATGTTATTTGCCATACTTAACATATTTAAACTACATTTGGTAAAATATCTATAGATTGAAAAAACAAAAACAAAAAAATTGACTGCCAACAGTCACCTAGCAGTACCACCACGGCCCACTGGGGGTCCACAGCTCACAGGTTAAAATCCAATGTATTAGTCTCATATGAGTTTTGGTGTCAAGTTTATAACATTTCAGTATTTCAATCTATACTGAATAAGTTATTACTGAATAACAATTATATACGACAAGTGAATTTAACTGTGTGAAACCTTTAATAATATAAAATGCATATGGGACATATTATTACATACAGGCAGTAACACACACTCCCTCATCCTGACATTGTATAAAAACAAACATATGTGTGTCGTGTGTGTGTGTGTGTCTCAGTGCTGCATTATTAATGAGATATTGATGGGAGATGGGATAGTGCGTGTAAGGCTTTGAGAGGGAGCGGCTGTGGACTTCTGGCCAGATGAACCTGTTCTCCTCTCAGACTGGGCAACAGCCTACATTATTTATCCCGCACCACGGCTGCCGTCCATAAGGAGGGTGTGTGCGTGTGTATGGATGTGTGAGAGCGTGAGTGCTTTTTAAAAGAAAACAGAGTGAGGTAATGTACTACTGGTGTTCAGTAGTGCACATGCAAGAAATAGAGCAAGCGAATGAGGAGGAAGAAGATGGAGATGGTATAAATATGCAAGAAACAAACAAGATGGATGACACACAGAGGGTTTTGTCACTGGAACAGAACCAAGTCAGAGGCCTCAATTGTGTACAGCTGCTGCTTCTAATCAGTTCACCATCGTCCAGCTGTAAATCTGTCCAATATATTGTGAATTAGAGATGCATCGAAATTTCGGCCACCAACAATTTTCAGATGAAAATGGCGTTTTAGTTTTTTGGCCCAAAAGAGAAACAGAAAAGAAAAGTCCCTCCTGTCACACTGATGCCGTCTGTAGCCATAGTTTTTGAAATAACAAAAAAAAATCACAAATAACAAAAAAATCACAAACAAGGGAGACGAAGTGCAAGGAATAACTAAAAAATAGAATTTGTCATTTTAAGAAGTTTAAAAAAAGGTTTTATGGCTATGTTATGACACAGTAATCTTCATCAGAATGTATTTATCCCTTACAGTAATTTAATATTATATTCATCATGTAAACCCAAACATGAAAATCAGATGATTTCCATGGTTTACAGTTTTCATCACCAATGTCCAGTGAGAGTAACAGTGGCTGCATGTTCCAAACAATAAGTGTGTATTTCATGTATATCATATATACAGTCAATGGTTCAAATTCCTTCACGATTGTAGCTTCTTGTTCATGGATTCTTGTCATAACAAAGGTTCTCAAGGGGAAGTGGAACTTTGCATTTTGCTATTGCTTTTGTTAGTTCGCTGCTTGACTTCCTGTGAACACAGTCCAGTCTGCCGAAAATACCACTTTAAAAGTCGTTTAAAAGCTGCATTTGAACGAGAGGGCTACAATCATGGATTCTATCGTATTAGCACACAGTGTGGAAGCTTTTGGACTTTTGCCTGCACTACCACAGATGACCCAAAGGTTCAAAGTAGGAAAGCGTGTTGACAGGTTTAAGAGAACTAATAGCGTTAATAATTTATTGTGTGTTAACTTTGACAGTCTGAGAAAATAAACACACGTAATCCCAAATGCCACATGCATAGTTACTGTACAACAGGCATGTCAAACTGGGGACCTTCCAGGCCAAAGTGCTGCGAATACCCCCTCATCTAGCACTGCTAGCACTGAATTCAGTTCATGAAGTCCTTGCTGATCAGCTGATGGGCTGAATCAGGTGTGTTTAATGAGGCAGTGTGCTGAAGTCTACAGTGTTTCGACCTGCCAGGACTGGAGCCTAACACATGTGCTGCAGTATGATATTTTATCGTTAGTGCAATAAATTTTATGCTTATGTGAGAATCATCAGTACTTCAAGAAAACTGTCCAACTCCACGTTTAATTACAAAGAGAGCATAATCAGTCCTGTTTAACTGGATTTAGTGCAGCACAGTGTGTTAAATATTGAATAAAAATCACTGTATCCACAGTTTTTGACGGCTGTTTTTAAATGAGGCACTAACGGTGCATTGAGCCTGTGTATCTAAATATCGCGATGCATAACGTGTATCACGGAAATGTCTTAAAAACAGTAATAAAAAGTGTGATTTCACACTTTTGCCCTATTGCCCACTCTTAATTATACATACTTATAGGACTGGGTGTTCTGATAAATCTCAGGGTTTTTTTTCAAACTTGATGATTCCTGATTTCAGTTTGGATTTTTCTAGTGAGCTAGTTTATGAAGAAGGCCACAACATACTGAAATGTAATAAATAAAGTAAATAAAAGTACAGAGAGTGAGAGACAGGGGTCTTACCTGACCGTGGGGTCCCATCATGGGATTGTTGGGGTTGTGTGGGGGAGGCTGAGAGTGAGGAGAGGGCTGTGAGCCAGGAGGACCCTGCAGTAGAGAGAGAGAGAGAGAGAGAGAGAGAGAGAGAGAGAGAGAGAGAGAGAGAGAGATGACCCATCACTACAAGTATGCAACAAAACCACTCGAACAGGGATTTCTTCAGGCAGGCTGCTATTATATAGAAACACATCTTCTCAAAATCCATGTCCAGTACTGTGCAAAATTCTTCAGTGATCTGAGAAAATAACATCTAAAGCCATTTAGCTGGTCAGTAAGCATTAGAAGACTAACCTTAAAGCAAATACAAATAAACAGTTAAACAAAACATTGAATTGATGTGTGTCAGTCTGCCAAAGCTCTTGTTGAGGAAGTCCAGTATTCACAATTACCATCTAACACCTAGCTTATCTAATCAATCCTTCATTAAATTAAATAAATTGAGCTGCTGATGGAATTTAATAAATCCATGCAATGGCTGGAGTGCAGCAAGAAGCCAGCAATCAAAGTGTTCTTCTAACTGTATTCTTCTAACATATTAATAACGTAATAAATAAATAAATGAATAAATCTTTTGCACAGTACTGCACGCTTCTTCATTAAAGAACTCGAGTGTCACTCGAGCGAGTGTCAGTTTACAGTTATGTCTGTGTGAATGTAGTCCAGAGTCTACAGTGAAATCCAAAATATTCCCTGTATTATTCAATAACTCCTTTATGATTATAATAATGTATTTAGCTGCTTATATATAATATATTCAGATCATTCAAAAAAAGAAAAAAAACTTGTTTTGTGTTTCATTCATGGGGCTGATACATTCTGTAAAAAGTTTTTAAGGTTGGGTTGGTGGGTTTGTGGTTATGAGCTGCAGGTATGCTTCACTTTTTACCCTGAGCACAGGACAAAGCTCAGATATTATCTCTCATCTTATACTGTAATTATATTCACTGTATAAGAGTAAGAGTAAGCTAACAGAAAAATAATGTCTTAAATTCTGTTTACTTACTATTCAAAGTTTAATATAGACAAAAATTGAGTTGAAACACCACATTTTTAGTGTTGCATAGACAACAATAATCAGACTTTTTATTATATCGTGGTATAAGAACCCATTTGTATGAACATAAACAGCCTGTGAGAATTTTATAATTGCTTTTTCACAAACTTTCATGCATCAAAAGCAACATCTTGGGCAACATCAAATAACAACATTAACTGAAAGGAGGTGTAAAGGAGGGATGCAGGTTTTACAACAGGGATCATTCTTGTCATTTATTTTTTTGACCAGGGGCATGGAATCTCCTTGATTCCCCCTTAAATCAAGCCCTGACCATGACATGTAGTTTTAGGTTCCCAACTTAAAGGTTCAAACAAACAAATAAGTAAAAAAAAAGCAGACAACAGTACTTTTGTTGTTGCTAATATATCAGGCTTTAGAACACTGAGACAATTTTTCTCTTTATGTGGAGAAGCAAATGCAGCAGCAGTAGCTATTTAATGAACAACTTCATGGCAGCTAACACGCTATTTTTGCCTCCTACCTGATTATACATTTCACAGAAGATCAAAACAGTAACTGAGTCAGGCTAAGAAAACAATTAGAAGTCATAAACCCTCCAGCTCTAACGCTGTCCAACAACCAGCCAGGGATCAAGCGGTCCTACAGTGTAGATAATGACCAAGAGCCATTTGTTCATTTCCATCTGTAGCACCACAAAGCACTCGTGAGGCAGAACGGGCACTCACACTGATCCGCTTTGCCAAACGCTGCCAGAGAGGCTGTGCACACTTTGACAGGTCCCATAGTGCAGTGGGTCTGAACTCCACAAGCAGGTGAGCAGGACCAGCTGCTCGTCCCGTGATGGCAACGGTCCTAATAGGGATGTAAAAATGCAACAGTGCATTGATCTGAAGGCTGATTTTGGAGAAGTACACTAACATCAGCTCTTCAACACCTAGCTTAGCAGTCTGAGTGAGAATCAGCAGGAAATCAACCTTCTAGGCCTTTAGATTTATATTTAAACTCTGCAAGCATTGCAGCACTTTTCTTATTTTAATGTTAAATTTTGGTTAAAAAACAAAAGGCCTAAAATCTTGAAACACCCATTAGAGAATTGTCCAGGCAGGATTTTTTCCCACGTGGTATCTAGGTAGATACAGCTCTCCCATTGGTTAGGACATCAGGAGCTGAACAGAAGACCTAACACATCCAATTAACCACTTACAGAATTACTTAAAGTGGAATCAACCAATCACGTTCTGAATCCCAAAGAGTGGGACCCACTTCGTGAGACTTTCTGGAAGTTCTACATGCGTCATTTACTGTATACGAGCTGTAGTCTAACCAGGTTTCAGTCAGTTGTTAGAAACAGAATATAGCTGCAGATCTACACCAGGACTCTTCATTGAAGATGTTACTGTAAACCTACAGGGTAAAATATATGTTACATCTGTTACAAGCTTCAAATGTCTGTGTTTAATCTACAACAAAGAAATGTTTATGTGAATTACCTTTAGCTTAGTGCTAACATATGACATGAATCCCCATGAAGGCGCTAGCAGAAATCAGCATTAACATAGTGATGTTATTTTACCTGTTTTGAACTAATTTCTCAATTCCTAGTACTGACAGTCACAGTACACCTCTGGTGAAAACAGCACCAACGGTGCTTTTTCTCTAATTTTCTCAATTTTCTCAAATTTCTAATATTGAGCTCCACAGAAACGGCTCTCAGATCTTCTCACACTGATCAAAATAATACCTTTTAAATACTGTTTAAATCTCAAGTACATTTCTACACAAGTATGTCTATCACACAAAAAAAGTACGACATCCAAAAGCAAACTGTGCTGCCTCACAGATGATGGAAGTATTTTGTGCCCAGCTAATGTTTTGTTCTGACAGCAGTGATAGGAAGGTAATTCAGGAAATGGGTATTCAGGAAACACACATGTGGCCTGTGCCAAAGTTATGGCACATAAATTTTTATGTTTTATTTTTTTTCCATGTTAAATTCAGCAAAAAAATAGAACTAATGCACTAAAATATGAAGGAAAATGCCATATTTAAGCTTATTCCATTGTATTAACTTCTTTTCAAATTTTTGCATTCAACTGTACTCAGTTTATTTTTGAAAATAATCCTGAATCACAACAAAACAAGTGAATCAAAACGTGATTACGCCCTGCACTGTTACCTAAAGAATCCCACTCAAATCGACTTGTTGTGAGGTCACAGATTTGCACCCCTGGCTCCTAATAATGTGGCAGTTTGTAAGGGGCAGTGAGTGTTATGATCTTCCCCCTGCCACAAGTCTCTCCTGCTGGGTAAAGCAGCTGCTGCAGCCCCTGCCCCACTCTCCTCCACACCGCTCTGCCACCAGCACTGCACCTCCTCCTCCCTCTAACCCAGGCCCATTATGAGTGAATGGGCGAGGCATATGGCCTTTATGGTGGTGCCTACTCCTGCTATGTGGCCCTGTAGAGAGGAACAACATGAGTGGGTTCGCCTGCGTGCATGTGTGTGTGTGTGTGCATGTGTGGGTGAGTGTGTAGGGGAAGGGGGGGCGAGTGTGTGCTAAATGAAGCAATTAATAAAATCATTTTCTACCCAGCTAAGGAGATAACGGCTTGGCACGGAACCACAAGCCCATCTACAGAAGCCCCTCCTGCCTTGTGAAAGAACAGCACATACTATTCCTACTGGGACAGCGCAGTAAAGGACAGTAGCAACCACAGGGGCCAAGCACTACAGCGAAGTGCAACACCACTTTAAAACCACTAGGAGGCAGTGTATAACAACCGAACGAATGCCGTGGACACAAAGCGGTGAACACAACAAAGCACAGAACAACAGCACAATGCATATTTCATTGTTGCCTCTGTGAGTACACTGAGAGAGACCTGCTGCCACTTCTTGGACAAACAATATGACGTACAGTGGAAGCGCATTTAAAGAAATCCATAAAGTGAAAGGCAGAAGTGTGCAGGTCATGTTAGCACACTTAACACTTTTGAGGATGCTAAAATGTGTTCTCTGTGAAGTAAATACATCTTTCTCAGATTCTCACCATGGAGATTTCCTACATTTTATTGCTATTTGGTCCTCAAAACGAGCTTGCTGCTGAGGCCTGTGAGCAGCGGAAGCTAACTGTTCTTCCAGAGGTCTAAATACATGATCTTTTTGACCTTTCACTTCAAAACAAGACAGTCAATCGGTCAACAAAACCTGAATTACAGCTAAAAATCTGTATGAAAACGGCTAACCTCAGAGTATGGTCGCAGTCCTACACAGTGCCTCAAGGGTTCTTTAGTAAAGAAAATGGTTCTATAGAGAACCATGAACACTCAAAGAACCCTTTGCATGATTAAAGGGTTCTCTGCATCATGAAATGGCTCTTCAGATTGATGGAGAATGTGCTTTTGTGTCCTTTTTGAAAATGGGGTTCTTCTACTGTTACTGTGTTAAGGTTGTTGCAATAGCAGAACCCTTTTGCATGCTATAAACAACCCTTTTCAAAAAGGTTCTATACAGAACCATCTATAGCACATTAATGCACATTTTCCATCAATCCGATGAACGCTTTCATGATGCAAAGAACCCTTCAGTCACGCAAAGGGTTTTTCAGTGTTCCTGGTTTCATACACAACCATGCTCTTTACTAAAGAACGCTTGAAGCATCTTTTTTTAGAGTGTATCAAAATATTCTAACGTTATTTTTCCGTTTTTCATTTTTCACAACATCTAAAAACGTTGACTGCCCTTAACACTACTGGAACATTTCAAGACCAAGAGAAATTTTGAAGATCAGCCAAAAGATGATCACAGTGTACATTAGCGTTATTCCGCCTCCTATAAAGTTACAATGGACACATGAGCGAAGACGTACAGTACTGGAATACTATCAACCTAGAGTTACGTCGTCTCCAGAGGCAAGCGCGTCAACGGGACAACAGTAGAGCGCTGTGGCACCTATCACACCTCCCCGGCTCCCAGAAGCAAGCCTGAACAAGATCCTCTGGTCCTTTTAACCTTGATGGAGGTCTAGTTCACTCGACTCAGGGAAAAGACTGAAATTCTCATTCTCCTGGGCTGCTGCTCACTCCGAGCTCTCTGAGCTTTTTCTGGGCTTTCACAGAAAGAGGGACTGATGCAATATCCTCACCTTCTCTCCTCAAACAAACCCACCCATTTCAGATGTTGTTGTCTGCCAGCTAAAAAGTTGAAATATTCTCTGTTTCTTCCGCCCTCCCTCCTTCCCTCTCTCTCTCTCCCCCTCTCTCTCTCTCTCTCTCTCTCTCCCTCTGCCTGTCCTCCCGTGAGGAGCTGCTGCAGTGGAGTTTTGGCGTGAGGATTATTAAGCAGGCCGACCTCTGCTATACCGGAGGGAAAAAAAAATCGCAGATCCGGGCCAGACGCCAGCGCGCGGGCTTTGTGCTTTCTCTCTCTCTCTCTCCAATCTCTTCTAGTCTCTCTCGCTCACTCTGCCTCTGCCTCTCTCTCTCTTTAAACTCTCTCTCTCTTTCTTACACTGCAGGAGGCTGCTGTGAGTCTGGGCCTGCGAGGTGAAGATTAGGGAGGTCTGGGGGGGGGCAGCAGACCCCTAAACCTCCATCCTTCTCTCTCAGGACGACGCAACTTACACTGCAGCGCTGGGGTTGACTGTGTTAATTATCACCATTATATCTGAGGGCTGAGGCCAAAGCATGTGCGCACACAGTGTACAAATTTATTATTTTTAAAAATTTTATTAACCTTTAACCCCTGAAACCTCAAGAGCCTGTATCTGTACCCACACTTCAGCTGCTCACTCCCATAACTACATTACTTACATATTAGTTTCATAGTAGTTATTGAATAATTTAAGATTCTCTACAATTAACCATTTTTCATCAAACCACTCTAAATGACTTTGGTTACATGATTGAACTATGCAGAAATATAGAAAAATCAGAGGACTTCCTCTTTAAGTTTGATGACTGAATAATAAACCTAAGGTTAAAAAGGTTAGCTAGAAAAAGAGAGAGAGATCTGAGGGACAGAATTTAGCAATGCAAGAATGATTAAGACTCTTAGCAAGAAATAAAAGTTTTCAAAGAGAGCATCAGGTGTTGAGTTTCACCTCGAGATGCATCACAACCTGTTCAAACCAAATCTGAGACTTACTGACAACAAACACCAACACGCTGACTGTGATTACAGCACGACTGAGAGCAGCAGCTACATTTAGAAAGAGAGAGAGAGAGACACAGAGACAGACAGAGAGAGAGAGAGAGAGAGAGAGAGAGAGAAGGTGTGAAAGGGTGATGTACTGGCTAGTATGAAAATATGCCAAGATATAATTGGTGTCGTGTTTGAAACACACACACACACACACACACACACACACACACACAAAGCAGTCAGACTGACGGCTGTGCAGCCTTTTCCTTCAGGACCTCTTTCCTTCTTCCCTGTCTCACTCTCTCACCCTCTCACTCTCTCCTCCCCTCACTTTATCTCCATCTCTCTCACTCTTGCTTTACAGTCTCTCTCACTCTTTTGCTTTTGCTCTCTAACTCTCTCTATCACGCTCTCTCTCATTCTTACTTTACTCTTTCTCTCTCCCACTCTACTTTCTCTCGCTCCTGCTTTACTCTTTCTTTCTCTTTCTGCCTTTCTCACTTTACTCTCTCCCACTCTCGCTTTACTCTCCCACTCTCTCGCTTTACTCTTTCATGCTCCTGCTTTACTCTTTCCTTCTTTCTCCACTCACTCTTCTGCTTTACTTTCTTTCTCTGTCTCTCTCTTGCTCAACTCTCTCTCCTTATCTCTCTCTCTCCTACTCTCTCGCTTGACTCTTTCACTTCTCACACTTTACTCTTTTCCTCTCTTTCTGACTTTCCTGCTTGGCTCTCTCACTCACTCTAATTTTCTCTCACTCTCTCATACTCTCTTGCTTTTACTCTTCCTCTCTTCCTTACTTGCTATCTGATTCTTTCTCACTCATTCTCTTGCTTTATTCCTTCTTCTCTCATATACTCTCAGTGTTTTTCTCCCTTTTGTTTTGCTCATTCACTCTCTCTCTTTCTCTCTCTCATAAACACTCACTGTCTCGTTATCACTCTCTCCTCTGCTTTATTCATTCTCTCTCCATCTATCTCTCTCGCTTTCCCTCTTACTCTCTCTCTCTTTCACTGTCTCTCTCTCTCTCTTGGGTAGCCACCAAGACAGAGGATAGAAGGGAACTGCTGCAGTGGAGAACAGTGAAAGACCTTCCACATTTTCTTATTCCCCTCTCTTTCTCTTTCTCTCTCTCTCTCTCTCTCTCTCTCTCTCTCTCTCTCTCTCCTTCTCTCTCTCTAATGCACACAGGCTCTATTTATGGAAAGCAATGTCACTCACGCAACACAGGCAGATACTCTCCCCTCTGATCACAGCTCATGCAACATTAACGCTCTCCTCCTCGGCTCACAGAAGATGCTGCCTCTCTATCTGATCTTTCCACTCGCACATTGCACCTCCTGCACCTACACAACACTAACTTTGAGTCAGACAGCAGATAGAGGGGCAGACAGAGGTTGTCCTTAAAGGCCATCAACCCTTACACTCATGAAGAAAAATAAAACATCATCATCATGAACTTAATTGAATTATGCCATACATCTCTATTCATTCATATCAGAGTAAACTGAGCTCAGATCAGCCTGGTCAGCTGATTGAATTATTATACCTGGAGAGGTATTTACTGTTCTTTTGTTATCAGCTGAATCCAACGGTAGATTCAGTAGATAGAACTCATACAAACTCAGAAATTTGAGTCATTGTTCTTCCCAAACTGTTATTGGAAAAGAATAAAACCTAAAATTGTGGCCTGTGCAAACGTTGTGGCACAATTTCTTTAAATTTAATTTTGTTTAACTCAGCAAATAGAAATTATGCACAAAAACTGAAAAAATGCCATATTACTGTTTGTTCTCTGTAGAGAATCTGTTAACTTCTTTTCACTTTGAAAAAATCTACAAAACATAAAATTTGACCTACTTTTATGGATATGCATTTGACTATGCAATTATTAATTTAAAACCTATGGAAAAATGTTGTCTCAAGTAAATCTGTAGGGGAGTAGTTCACTCTTAAATGACTCCCCCCAAAAAAAAACAAAAAAACAAGAAATCTGTACAGAATGTTTTTTGGGTCTCAATCTTGACTCGTTCTCGGCCTTGACTTAGTCTTGGTCCCCGTTAGACTCAGTCTTGGACTTGCCTTGCACTCAGCAAAGGTGGTCGTGACTACAGCCCTACTAAGGACACCAAAACATCTGTCAACCTGAAGCTCAGTCTCAGCCGTCTTCAGTTAATGCTCAGAGAGCCGGCAGCAGCACCCAGCCAATGGGCACTCTTACTCATCTGAGACTGTCATGACAGCTAGGGCTGATTCAAACACAGAACGGGGACAGACTGTCGAAAAAAGAAACCAAGAGAGAAACATCTGGACAGAGATTACAGAAGATAAAGGGGCTCTGAAAGAAGGAGGAGAGTAGAAGAAAGAAAAAGCAGGCAGAAAAAGGACTGGACACAGCAAGTTAAGACTGTGAGGAAGAACGCTGCACTTACTTGAAAGAAGCTGGGAGGCATGGGCCCGCCTGGCATGCCATCATTAGGAGGCATATTGCCCATTACAGGACTGGGGGCTGCTGCTGCACT